TGAAGCAGGATCTCTGCTGACAGCAGAGAGCCTGATGTGGGGCTTGAACTCATGAACCATGAGATCATGACCTGAGCTGAAATGGGACGCTTAACTGATTGAGCCACCCAGGCACCCCAGCAATTATTTTTCTTTAACACATATCCCACTGTATTTAAAAAAAAATGTTTATTTATTTTGGAGAGAGAGAGAGCGCAAGCAGGGGAGGGGCAGAGAGAGATGGAGACACAGAGTCCGAAGCAAGCTCCAGGCTCTGAACTGTCAGCACAGAGCCCAGTGGGTTCATGGGGCTCGAACCCACGAACTGTGAGATTATGACCTGAGCCAAAGTCTGACACTTAACCCACTGAGCCACCCAGGCACCCTTGTATTTTTTTATTCTACCCAGAAGATAGTTTTATTTTATTTTAAATTTATTTTTTTATTTTGAGAGAGATAGAAAACGGGCAGAGGGGCAGAGAGAGAGAGAAGAGAGAGAATCTCAAGCAGGCTCTGCACTGTCAGCTCAGAGCCTAATGCGGGGCTGGATCTCATGAACCAAGAGATCATGACAGGAGCCCAAATCAAGAGTTAGATGCTTAACTGACAGAGCCACCCAGGTGCCCCTCCCCAAAAGATAGTTTTGATCAGCGTACAGGAGCTTGATAAAAAAATCCATCCACACCTGTAGGATAACAGCCCACTTTTAAAAACTGGTCCCAGTACACTGACCAAATTTCCCAGTGAGTATTACTAATAGCAAATTTATTTATTTTTCTTTTTCTTCTCATAACTACTTTAAAGATTTTTTTCCCACAGACTTTTTATTTTATTTTTTAATAACTATTTTAATCACCCAGTGCTCATCACAACAAGTGCACTTCTTAATCCTCATTACCTATTTAACCCATCCCCTAACCCACCTACCCTCTGGTAACCATCAGTTCTCTATAGTTAAGAGTTTGGGGGTGCCTGGGTGTTCAGTCATTTGAGAGTCCAGTTCTTGATTTTGGCTCAGTTTCTTAATTTTGTCCAGTTCTTGATTTCATGATCCTAGGGTTGTGGGATTGAGCCCCTTGTTGAACTCCACGCTGAGCATGGATCCTGCTTAAGATTCTCTCTCCCCAAGAAGAGGTGGTATGTATGTATGTATGTATGTATGTATGTATATGTATGTATGTGTGTATATATACATACATACACACACACACATACATACATACATACAATGGAGTATTACTCGGCAATCAAAAAGAATGAAATCTTGCCATTTGCAACTACGTGGATGGAACTGGAGGGTATTATGCTAAGCGAAATTAGTCAGAGAAAGACAAAAATCATATGACTTCACTCATATGAGGACCCTAAGACACAGGACAGATGAACATAAGGGAAGGGAAGCAAAAATAATATAAAAACAGGG